CGACCCCAACAGAGCAGCAGTTAGGCACCTTTCGCGCTGTCGGCCGATCGCGCAAGACCCCCTGTTCCGCGGATTCACGACCCCCCAAAACCCCAGGGGGGGTGGGTTTTTTCGACTTGTGATTTTTGGCATTGTCGGCGCTTCGCGAGTCCACCTAACTGCTGCTCACCAGACAACGATTGCTGCCAAGTAAGGCATAGCCAAGCACATAACCACAATGGGCCAGCACTGGAATACGATATTCATCAAAACACTATCATGGCTGTTGTCTGTATCTTTCAAAGTAATGAAAGCGATTCCAGGCGATTTTACGATGGGGACAAACTCGTGTTCCTCGTTGACGTAATCATTGACAGGAAAACTGAGATGACTTTTGTCACTAATGCTACTTTTGACCTCATTTGGCGTCTCTTTTTTGAGGGAGAAACCAGTGACGTCATTATCAAAATGAACAGAAGTTACTCCATGACCATTTAGGCATGTACCACAAATATCCGTAATCATTTTAATAAAGAAAGAGCCGAATATCCCCCCTATGAGGCCATCTGGCAAGGAACTGTTCACGTATGGAGGATACGAGGCCCAGTTGGTGTAAAGGTCTCGTGGACAGTTACAGGTCCCTAAAAAAAATTTAAACACATACATATTTAAAAACATATCTGCACTCAGCTGGGTACTTTGCCAGCAGTAATGGGACTAGATGGTATCCCAACATGCACCCTGCATTGGGTACTTACCAGCATTTATGGGACTAGATGGTGCCCCATCTCCTTTTCTAGTGAATGCTCTGACTTGTATTTTGTAGGTCGTAAATGGCGTCAAGTCTTGAAGAATCACATCTGTTTTCTCTTCTGAATACTGACGAGACATCGTGGGCTTTTGAACATCGAAATTACTAAAGCCTACTTTTTCTTGGTACGTCAGGTGGTATCCTAGTACTTTTCCGTTAGCGTACTCTATGGGAACTGGGTCCCAGTCAACTTGGATTGTCGATGTACTTATTAAATCACGTACTCTTACGTTTGCAGGAGGCGCACTTGGAACTGTGGATAAACCAGAAATAACCAAATTAAATATACCACTTAAATATTTGTGAGGAAATAAATATTTCCTACTGTCTGGTTGTGTGATTTGTGACGCCCTAAGTGGTACCAAATCGCTGATCTGGGACTCTAACAGGTACGACGAGCATCCGCCCTTTTCCAATCGGAGTCCATCTCGGAAAATATAGATTTTTGTATTGCTTATATCATGCCCCCGTAATTAAACAGCTGAAGAAGAAAAGCTGCAGAGCCTCTTTTTGAAGAAGCTAAAAGTTTAATATATCATTAACATATCATTAATATATCCCTCATTGGCCAACTATATCATCATAACTCGATATAAATGTCACCTGATTCGTCAGTCGCTACAACAACCTCTGGACTGGATGCTCCCTCTCCTTGATCGTTAAGTGAAGTTACGGAGACCCCGTATGATGTGAATGGTAGCAAGCCGTCAATCAGCACATGAGATGATTCTGTTGTTATGCTTGCTAGTTTGTAGTTTCTTAGGTCCACATATCTTATTCTATAGCCAGAGACAGTTACTCCAGAAACAGGGTCCCATTTGTAATGTAGTTACGTCACTGATTATAAGTTATGATTATGTATGTACATAAATTAAGGACATAAATAAATGCACGAGGAGATACAACAACTGGCGACGAGCGATGGCTACAAATATTCCCGATTTTCCGCCTTTTAACGTCCATCTTGACAACAACGCAGGCCCTAGATGGGGAAAATGGTTAAAACGACTTGAACGACTCTTCATTGGAATGAAATTAGAAGATAGCAAACAGAAACGAGCACTTTTACTTCACTAAGCGGGACCTGATGTTGATGACATATTTGATACACTTATTGACACCGGAGAAGATAAAGATTACAAGAAAGCAGTTGAGAAACTAGACGAGTATTTTAATCCTCAGGTTAACACTACCTACGAAGTCTACAACTTCAGAACAGCGAAGCACAAGGAAGGAGATTCGTTGGATACATATCACACAAGATTGCGCCAGCTTGCTAAAACATGTGAGTTCGCCGACGTAGACAAAGAGATCAAAGAACACATTATTTTGACCTGCACATCTAACGCCTTAAGACKCCGCGCTCTAAGGGAAAATTTCAGCCTTAAAGATCTACTTCAACACGGAAGGGCATTGGAATTAAGCGAATCTCAAGCAACCCAAGTAGAAAAAACAGAATCCCAGGTCAATACAGTGAAAGACAACTGGAAAAATGCCCAAAGATACGATCAAAGGCCCGTGCAGAATGCCGGCAAATTCCGATCACGTGCTAGGCAACCAAAACCACGGTCACGCAACAGATCGACGTCACGCACTAGCGAAAACAAGCAACAGAAACCTAACTCCAAGAAGTTAACATGCTGGCATTGCGGAGGAGACTTCCCTCATCGAAATGAATGCCCTGCCAAAGGCCAAGAATGCCGTTCATGCGGAAAGATAGGTCACTTTTCACGCATTTGCAAAACA